CTCCATGATGATATGCTTCATTCAAAGCAACGGCGGCAGCCAGTTGATTCACTTTTATTTCTTTGTTGGAACTTCTTCGTAATAGCGTGTGAAGCACTTTGCGTTGTGATGGTTTAAGACCATCCACTACAGAAGGGATGGATCGCTGAAACAATGAAGTAATCATCTCCAATGGGCACTGGAAAGAAAAAACAAGGAAATAGAGGCTCAAGGCCTCCGAACTACACCAAATAACTAAATTTTAAACCTTTTGAGAAGTGATAAAAGGGGTGACGGCGAGGGGGAGAGGGATAGACAAGAAGGAAAAACGAAAAAAGTGGGACTTGGAATAAGTGTAACACACTGTCCTACACTTGCGGTCCTCGAAATTAACAATTTTAGGATCTCCAAAATGGAATCGGTGACCAAATATATCCATGGAATCCAAATTCACGGGTTATCTTCATGTTTTTGTTATCTTCATGTTTTTATGTGCAAAAAATTCGCAGCCATCTAGAGGGAAGACGGAGGTATGGGAGATAGAGTACCTTCAAATCAAGCAATGAATATCGAAACAATTCATTATCCACGAATTCTCTATACGATGTTTCGTTGACAACTGTATGATCCACGAAGTCCTAAAATCACTGTATTTGTTTCAACTTATCAATTTCTATTATCAAGTTAAATCATTACCGTCTGTAACATCTTGTTGATCCATTCCTTTCTATCATCCGCTCTGCGTTTATCGAAAACCATTCGAAGACTTTCACCATCTTCCTCGTCCTCGTATCGGAAGCTAACCAAATGTTTCTCGAAGTTAGAAAAATACTCGCGAGCTTCCTTAGATGTTGATGTGCCTGAAACTTATTTGTTGATTTTGGAAAGATTCGTAAAAGTTTAAAATTTGGAAAACACTTAGCAAAAAAGCTCCAGGTTTATTGAACCTAGGTATTGAGTCAAAAGACTTACCCAAACCCTTATAGTACTTTATTGTATATTTATCAGCATTACTGGTATTCGCTCTCCAAGCCTTGTACTCATCCATCGAGTAAAAATTAATAGTTTCTGAGCCATTACGAGCCTTGAACAGAAATTATCTACTAAAACTCAAACACAACTAGACTACACTCTTACCTTCAATAATGGTGTCATGAACGACTGTACAAAACCACTTTGTAGCAACTGTGGCCAAAATGTGTACAAAAAATTTATAATTAAACCTTTGATATGGGATCCATCTTCATCCTAAAAATCCCACAGCTTCAGTTTACTATTACTAGCGCTTTCAAAAAACAAACCTGATCCGTAAGTATGATTATGCCTCCATACCGTAATTTTGCGCGGTTTTCTGCGATAGAATAATCCTCGCCATATTTTAGGCCCAAAATTCGCATCATGTGATTTATCTCCTTGGAGGCAGTTGCCTTAAA